GGGGATTAAATACAGGGGGGTAGGGATGGGGCAAAGTGGGTAAAGGGAGTCAAATATATGATAGCTGAAGGAAACCGGACTTTGGTTGGTAAACACACAATAGAATATACAGTTGTCAAATTATAATATACACCTGAAAATTATATAATTGTATTAATCAATGTTACCCCAATAAACTTAATAAAAAAATAAAAATAAAAATAAACTCTCATACTTCCCCTGTGATTATATTAAAATATATTGTAAAGTCAAGAGAATGGGTCTATTACAAGCTTCAAGGTCTCTTGGATTTCCTTACTTTAGAACCGAACATTGCTCTAGCAGATTTTGGGCAACATGACTTCCTGCTGCGTCTTCTCCATTCCTAAGTAGCCTCGGAATGGTGGCAAAAAAAAAAAAAAAAAGGCAGCTGTGTACCCCTTCTCACCCTCCCCTCAATTTAAGATACATCAAGGTATAAGAAGTTAGAGCCTTCAAGATCTTAGCTGTGGATTTGGTACACATAGGTCAAGACTTGACACTGCTGACAGTAAAAGACAAGCACAGGTGTGGGAATCATGTCGGTTTGTTGTTTAACAAACAATTGCAAATTCATCTGGTAGAATCCTGAGCATGTTTTGATGTGGTTTATGCTTGGTGATGAGCCACCCTCCACTGAACTGCCTGCATTACATTACCTTTTCTACTGTGACCTGCATCCTAGGTTCCCTAATTAAATGTCTTTACCTCTCCCCTAGGTCAGTTGAAGAGGCGTTCAGATAAGACAAGAAGCCATTCTACTGTGAGAGAGTCTTGGGCTCAAGCCACTTGTCAGGCCATTATATAATCTCCCTGTGTTTTTAGGGAGCTCTGTACTTCCCCTCCTAAAAATCCGTAGCAATGATTCTCGTCACAGTGCTGAGGCAGGACAGAGTCAAGCCAGTGTAAAAATGCTGTCTCTCCTTACTGGCACCTATCTCCCCCTCTCTTTGACACACAACTTCAGAGCTGGAAAGAACCTTGGAGAGTGACTCCTCCAGTCCTCTCTTGTAACAGCCCAGGAGAATGTGGCCCAGCTAGACTTACTTTCCTAATGTTGCCCAGTTAGTAACCAGTACCCTAGAATGGAAAGTCTTAGCTTCAGTTTCAGTCCTGTGCTCTGTCTGCTAGGCCCTTTTCAACAGGACATTCTATCTCTAGTTTTGCAGAAAAAATCAGGAAGGCAACAGTCTAAATGCAGGCAGGGGCTGGTTGCCATTTTGACTGGGCACTGACTAGCCTCTTAGGATATCAATTCCAGCCACAGCTGCCCACTGGAACCACCCACCATTACTCATTTTACCTAAAAGAGCATGGGAGAGAGGAAACTGCTGCCTCTGATCTTATTTCTTGCCCTAGAAAGGTTCTAGCTAATTCTATTGATACAGTTATGCTGGCTCTTTCATGAAAATTTTTGCTGCTGCTTTGTGGAGTCCTCACTCCCTCAGAAATATTAATCAAATGTACAGATTTCTACTCTGAATTCAGGTTCAAGGAGTACATGTTATGCATGTACTTCTCTCCTTTTTGTTATTTAATTGCTATTATGTAATTCAAGGGTGACAAATGTTCTTTCATTTAATCAGGTGCACTTTTATTATTTTTTTTGTGAATTCCTGTTACAGGACTTTGTATGAGGTTTTATAGATAGGCCCAAATTCACTTTAAAGTACTCCTCAGGTTAGTCGGCTAAGGTCCATTGGACTTGGCTGACAGCTAAGGAGATTTGTAGGAGGACCATTTGAAAGCACCTCCTTCTCCAAGGTACATCAAACAAACAAACTTAATTTCTAAAAATGAGGACGAAAGATCTAACTGCTACAGTCAGATCTACCTGTAATTTCTCCAAAAACTCAGTCTGTTATTTTAACCCTCTTTGGTTGACAAATGCTTGCTGCTGCTGCTGCTTTGTTTCTTCTTTCCTTCACTCTCTCTCTTTTAAAGAAAACTTATAAACCAAATCACCCTAGTGACCTTGGCCTTATAAAACTTCTCAACTCTTTCCAGTAAGGAAACTGTTGAAAAGTTTCTCTGAAGGTAGTCTAAACAATTTCAGATGAAAAGAACTAAAAATATTTTAAAGCTTCTTAAACTTTAATTTTAGCACAAGTGCTATTATTGCTGTGGTTATTAATGTCTTATGAAATTTTCAAAGAGTAATTTGTCTCATGGCCGTGTTTTCTTTTGTGGATGGGGAAAGACAATGCATAAATCTTTTCAAAGTGGTTAAATGAAAACTGGTGGCTTTTTCCTAAATTAATTCCAATGCTTGGGTAGACAGTTTACCTTTGTCTCCTAATTCTTTAGTTACTAAAGGTTTAAAGGTATTTACCCATATGAACTACCTCACAGAGGATGTTACAACTGGTAACCTGCAGAGATGGCTATGGACTCACAGTTAGCATCTTCTTCTTCTTCCTCTTTCAATCATTCCAACCTCTTTGTAAAGCCATTAATTTCAAACCAAGAGAAAAAGATTATCAGTGACAGATATTCCTCATAAAAAGAGCCCCACGGTGAGATGACCAAAAGCAAAAAAAGTAGACACATAATTCTTTAGGGCTATCTCCCAATTTTCTTTAGCTTGAATTTCCTTTACCTTCACTGTGGACTTCCTGGAAATAATGGGCTCCTAAAGCATTTTGTGTTTTCGTAAGAAAAATGATGTGTTGCTATTTTCCCAAGAGAAATGGCGGGTTTTTAGAAGAGGGTAGGGTTTCCCCACTTATCACTTACTGAACTATTCTGGACAGGGGTCGGGGGATCACCGAAGCTGTCAGTGTTTCTCAGAAATTGACAAATAGGATTGGAATATTGGTCTGCCACCCCAGGCTAACACATGGCTGGTTAAAAGAGAGATAGTTTTGGTTTGGTTTGGTTTTTGTTGGTTACTGTTCTTAAGCTTAGAGCAGTAGTTCTCCT